TTGCAAAATTCCCAGGGTAATGGGGCTGAAAAAATTAAATCGAAGGCTCCTACTGCTCCACTTCCTGGCTGCAGTAAGGATTTTCCGCCATTACCCAACAAAGAAAAGAAAAACAAAAAAGCTGCTCCTCAAACTTCTCAAAAGAAATCCAAGTCCGAACGCGGTTTGCTAGCTTTTTCGGACATTGTGGAATTCATATTAAATATGTTCAACATACAAGACCCTCTTAGAAGCTTAGTTTCTGCCTTGCTTCCAACACTAGAATCATATCTTAAGCAATTGACTGTTTCATGGCCCCTCCTTGCATCAATCATATCTTTCGATGGATAATTCGTCGAACGAGGTTGAAGATATGATCACTGTGCTACAGTGGAACTGCCGTAGTCTAGTGCCTAAACTAGACTCGTTCAAATTTTTACTTCACAATTCTGATTGTGATATATTTGCTCTCTGTGAAACATGGCTTTCTTCCGATAAAGAACTCAACTTCCACGATTTTAACATTATTCGCCTGGATAGAGACGATTCTTATGGAGGAGTACTTTTAGGGATCAAAAAGTGCTACCCTTTCTACAAAATTTCCCTTCCTGCTCTATCAGGCGTCGAAATCGTCGCTTGCCAAATAAATGTGAAGAACAAAGATCTTTGCATAGCTTCAGTATACGTTCCACCAAGAACCTCCATTAGCCGTAGTCAACTCTGGAATCTAGTTTCGATTCTTCCATCCCCAGTATTAATTCTGGGTGATATGAACTCCCATGGTACTGGGTGGGGCGATCTATATGACGACAATAGAGCGGCTATTTTTTACGATTTATGTGACGATTTCAATTTGACTATTTTGAACACTGGTGAAGCGACACGTATAGCAAAACCTCCGGCTCGAGAAAGCCGACTCGACCTATCTTTGTGTTCAAGATCGCTATCATTGGATTGTCAGTGGAAGGTTATCAATGATCCCCATGGTAGCGATCATTTGCCAATCATCATTTCAATTAAGTGTGCCCCTCACTCTGCAGAACCATCTCGTGTTCCATTTGATCTTACAAGGAACATAGATTGGCAGAAATATGCAACGGCGGTGACAATCGGTGTCGAATCAATAGATGCGCTTCCACCATTGGAAGAATATCGATTCCTAGCCGATTTGATTTACAAAAGCTCACTGGAAGCACAAAAAAGAAAAGTTCCAAGTGCACCCTTTAAAAGGAGACCAGCCACACCTGGTTGGGACGAAGAATGCACAAAATTGTATGTAGAAAAATCTGATGCTTTCAAAGCTTTTCGTAGACACAAAACCTCCACTTACTTCGAGGAATATTCAAAGCTTGAGACAAAGCTAAAACAATTAATCAAAGCAAAAAAACGCGGTTATTGGCGCAATTTCGTCGAGGGACTCTCACGAGAAACCTCAATGAACACCTTGTGGAGGGTGGCTCGCAACATGCGTAACCGCTCATCTTTCAATGAGAGTGAAGAATACTCCAACCGATGGATATTCGATTTCGCTAAAAAGGTCTGTCCGGACTCAGTTCCAGCACAAAATATTCTTCGAGAAGCGTCTCCTAGCGGCGGCTCTCTGGATAGACCATTCTCAATGCTGGATTTCTCTATGGCTCTTCTTTCATCGAACAACTCCTCACCGGGAAGCGATATGATTAAATTCAATCTTCTGAAAAATCTCCCAGATATCGCTAAAAGACGCTTGCTAGATTTATTCAATTCCTTGCTAGAAAACAACATTGTACCGCCTGAATGGAGACAGGTCAAAGTAATAGCCATTAAAAAACCTGGCAAATCAGCGTCTGACCATAACTCATACCGTCCGATTGCTATGCTTTCGTGCATTAGGAAATTGTTGGAGAAAATGATCCTTCGGAGACTCGATCACTGGGTCGAATCAAATAACTTGCTATCAAATACACAGTTTGGGTTCCGCAAGAGCAAAGGAACAAACGATTGTCTAGCGCTGCTTTCCACAGATATTCAACTGGCCTTTGCGCACAAGGAGCAATTGGCTTCAGTATTCTTGGACATTAAGGGGGCTTTTGATTCAGTTTCCATTGAAATTCTGTCAGACAATCTGCACAGATGTGGACTTTCTGGAATTTTAAATAATTTCTTGTACAATTTGTTGTCAGAAAAGCAAATGAACTTTTCCCTTGGACAACTGACAACTTCCAGAATTAGCTACATGGGCCTGCCCCAAGGCTCATGTCTCAGCCCTCTTCTTTATAACTTTTACGTCAAAGATATCGACAACTGTTTGGCAGAACAATGCACGCTAAGACAACTTGCAGATGACGGTGTGGTTTCCGTAAGAGGTCCACATGCCGTGGACTTGCAAGGACCATTGCAAAATTCCTTAGATAACTTGTCTTCTTGGGCTATGAATCTAGGGATCGAATTCTCGCCGCAGAAAACTGAACTGGTAGTGTTTACTCGAAAGCGGTACCCAGCCCAAATGCAGCTTAATCTTTTGGGCAGAAACATTACCCAATCATTGTCTTTCAAGTACCTTGGGGTCTGGTTTGATTCAAAGTGCACTTGGAATGCTCATATTACGTACTTGAAGCAAAAATGTCAGCAGAGGATCAACTTTCTCCGTTCAATTTGCGGCACATGGTGGGGTGCTCATCCGGGAGACCTCATAACGCTTTATAAAACAACTATTCTCTCTGTTCTAGAGTATGGCTCTTTCTGCTTTCTCTCGGCAAGAAAAAGTCACCTAATAAAATTGGAACGAATTCAATATCGTTGTCTGCGTATTGCTCTAGGCTGTATGCACTCAACGCATAACATGAGTCTCGAGGTTCTGGCAGGAGTAACACCCCTCCAGAACCGTTTCTGGGAGCTCTCTCTCAGAATACTAATCAAATGCGGAGTGACGAACACACTTATAATTGCAAATTTTGAAGAAATTCTTGGGCTGAACACACAATCTCGATTTATGAGAATCTACCACCACTACATATCATCAGATATGTGTCTTCCTTGTTATACTCCAGACCGTGTTCACTTCACCAATCGCAGTTCCTCAATTGAATATGATCTGACCATGAAACAAGCAACTCATGGGATTCCCGATCAACTTCGACCTATTATTATTCCGCGTATTTTTACTGAAAAGTACCAACAAGTCAATTGCATGAAAAGATATTTTACAGACGGGTCTCGTCTCAGTGGATCCACTGGCTTCGGTGTCTTCAATGAAAACTCTAGCGCCTTCCGCAAACTCCAGGAACCTTGTTCCGTTTTTGTTGCTGAGCTGGCAGCAATCAACTTCGCATTGGGGATGATTTCCAACATGCCCGCAGACCATTACTTCATCTTCTCGGATAGTCTCAGTTCGATTGAGGCTATTCGGTCGATGAAACAAGGTAGGCACTCATCTTATTTCCTTTCAAAGGTAAGGGAGCAGATGTGTGTGCTGGTCGAAAGATCATATATGATTACCTTTGTATGGGTCCCCTCACATTGCTCAATCCCAGGCAATGAGAAGGCGGACTCTCTCGCAAAGGTGGGCGCGCAGGAAGGTGAATTGTATGACAGGCAAATTTCACACGATGAATTTTACCATTTAGTGCGTCAGAGTACCTTTTCGAGTTGGCAAACCGATTGGGACACTGGAAATCTTGGACGGTGGTTACATTCAATTATTCCTAATGTTTCTTCGAGAGCGTGGTTTAAAGGCTTGGACTTAAGTCGTGACTTCATTCGCGTGATGAGTAGACTTATGTCCAACCACTACTCGCTAGATGCTCATCTCAATAGAATAAACCTCGTGGACAGCAACATCTGTCGGTGTGGAAACGGTTACGATGACATCGAACACGCAGTTTGGCAATGTACGGATAATGACGCCGCCAGAGAGCGACTTTTGAATACCCTCGAGGCCCAAGGAAGACAACCCTATGTTCCTATCAGAGACGTGTTGGCAACCCGTGATCTCTGCTATATGCAGTCCGTTTATGTTTTTCTTCAAATGTCTAGTATAAGAATTTAATTCCTTTTGTCTTTTGTCTCTCTTTATTAGTTTTTGTTTGTCTTGTCCCCCCGTCTCGATGAGTCTCATCGTCGCCCACTGGTCACCCACCATAGCCGGTCGAACTCCAGACGAAGCTAGAACAGCACTACCGTTCATACTGGCGACAACGCTCTGATGAGACAACGAAACCCTACCCCAAGCTCCTCCCCTGATCCTATCCTTCGAAAATGTACCCTTCTAACCTCGAGTAAGCCGCGAGTAATCGGCCCAACTCCTACTAGACATAGAATTAAGTGAATTTTGTTACACACAGTGAACAATGAATTATCGGCTCCGTAAAGCTAACGCGATTGAGCCTTCCAAATAAACGAACTAGATAAAAAAAAAAAAAAAAAATATCAGCGAAGTCAAATAACCAACCCTAATAAAAATTGTATGGTTAATTTGCTTAACGACGTGTTCTGGGTATCATCCAAACCATTTGTGGAATAGTTCAATGATTTGAGTTATCGTTCGTTTATGGTTATTTTTTATTAGGGAAGTGCTTGCATCCTCCATTTGTAAAAATGCTTATTTTTTCACCCATTTTACGGTAAACACAATTTAAGAAAATGGGTGAAAAAGCACCCATTTTTTCACAGACCACCCATTTACCCATTTATGAGTAAACCATAGTTTACCCATTAAATGAGGAGGGGCACTTTTAGCGGAAATGGGTATTTACCCTAATAAACAAATACCATGAACGAACTGTATTCCGGATGGGTAAACTATCCCACAAATGGTTTGGATGATACCCCGAACACGTCGTTAAGCTCTCTTTTATGGTTATTTTTATTAGGGTATATACCCATTAATGGGTTTTCGCGAAACACCGTGTAGGTGTATACAGGCCTTCACGTCACAAAATGTATTTTGTCTGGCAATGCTGCCTTCACGATAATCCTTTGTGCTGGATTAGGCCCTTTGAAATGTATTGTATTTATTATCATTCTTGTTCTTGTCGTTCTTGTCATCGTATCGGAAAATGGGAAGCCATGGCACTCAAGTGAAAATTTGTATTTCAAGTTGAAATATTTGAAGAAAAGTAACAATTTAGTGCGGTTTTAGTGAATTTCGGTTAGTTAACAAGTTCTGTACACCAGTGAATGCAATGTACGGGCGTGGTGCTGGCAGTGGGAGGGGTCAAAATGGATCAAATTACTCGGCTCGGTCGGCTGGTGGTGGCGGAGGCTCATCGTCGATGAACATGGCGGTAGCCGGTGGATCTGGAAGGATGGCACCGGTGAAAAACTATCAGACCGTTCCATCGGATTCCGGAATGGTAAGTTCAAGCGGTGGCGCTATGCTGGAAGGCGAATGGAGCTCACTGAATCCAAGCTTATATCAAAATATGTCCAACGAGCAAGTTGACTGGGCTGCGCTTGCTCAACAATGGATTCAGATGAAGGAAACGCTCCCAGCGGACATGGTTCCGGCAGCGCCACCTCCTCCTATAATTTCGGAGAACTATGGCTCGAACAGTAGAGATTCGCAACCCGATGGTGGTCGGTTGGGATCAGTGGAAGAGCAAGGTGAAGCACCAATGGAGGTTGAACGTGATGAGGACCATTCGTCAATAGGTCATCAACAACAGACATCACATGCTTGGGATAATGGGACGGTTTCGTGGCAATATCCTGCACATTCCGAGTGGCGCAATCCTGCGTGGGATTCGAACTGGTCATCGGGTTCTTCTAACTCGAATAAGGCTTATGATTCCAACTCCATGACGGTCACAGTGAATCCGAATGCTACAATCGCTGTTGCCAACTGGCAAGCAAAGATTGCCCGCATCTATAAGTTGGGCGATTCGAGCAATTCGAGTGCTATTGCTGGAACTGTGCAACCAAGTTGTCAGTCCAACCATCAGCAACAGCAGCAGGATGTGCAATCAAAACGGATACCTGGTTTGATGGATCAGGTGATCAAGTTAGATCACGATTCAGTAGACCCAGGTGACCAGGAGGATGACACTACCCAGACCATTAACGACGCCAAGCGGAAGCTGCTGCCTGCCTGGATCCGAGAGGGGTTGGAAAAAATGGAACGTGAGAAGCAGCGTCAAGCAGAGAAGGAGAAGGAACAACAGCAGCGAGCGGAATTGCTACAGCAACGAAGACAGGCAGAATTGGAAGCACTCAGTGAGCTGGAGGCCGCTAAGAGGAAGAGCAAATTCGTCAGTACTTATATTTTGAGGCAATAACGATGATTACATAAGATTTTTTGTTCTCTAGGAATCGGATTCTGAAGAAGACGAAGCAGAACGTGAGGATAAACAGGATGATGATCCTCGCAGTGAAGAAAGTCCAGTGCCTTCTCGCTCTCGCGATGAGATCTTGCAGGAGCTGGTAACAATATGAGACATTACGAAAAATAACACCAGATTGATAACTGTATGATTTCAGATGATCGCCGTCCGTAAGAACCTAACGGAAATCTTACTGGAGGTGACCAATGAAGAGATTGCCCTTGTGGCTAAAGAAACATTAGCTAAGACCCGGAGAAAAGGTAGCCATCCGCTTAGATTAAGTGTTAATCCCGGTTTTCTTCTCTCTTTTTGTAGCATTAATGAAATCTACGATTTAGACGACATTTTCAGCGGCTTCAAAATACAAGTTCCCATTTCCCAATATGTCTTTTTGCGCCCAAGAGGGCTTTAGTGTCGATACACTTGTCCCGTATTCTTTTTCACAAGAACCCATGAATAGCAAACCAAATCAAAATTGTTCCTCTCTTTGCATACATTTCATTGTCGTTACCCAATATCCAAACAAACTTAAGCACCAACAGCTCAAGCGCTGCGAAAGACCGGTCTTGCGACTCTCACTGGTGGACTTGGTAAGTTAGTTTTACTATTCCTTTGATAAAAAAGAAAAGAAAATCAATTTCAATTATTTACGTTTGTACTAGCATATTGAGATTGAGAGATTCTATAAAGCAATAAAAATTGGTACAATGTTGTGCGCATAAAATCGATCCGCGAAGCTAGCTTGTTCTTTTCTCGTGGAACTGGGAATAATCGAAGCACCATTTGTTTGTAGGTCTAGGCATCTATGGAGATAGTGATGAAGAGGATGAAAGCGGATCGGATAACGATCGAGACGACGATGGAAATAGTGAGGATGATGAGGAAGCTGAAAGAGCATTAAGGGTAAAATTGGTCTCGGATCCGAATCCCTAGACTGTAAGGTTAACATGTACAATCCGATTCCGTAGAATACCATCAAGCTGCGTCAAAAAGAATTTGAATGGACAGCCCGTGAGATCGAGGATCAGATTGCTAAGGAGGAAGCTGTCGAGGAACGTAAAAGGAGAGAATACGAGCAAACCGTGCGTCAGAAGGATCAACAGCACAATGCCAGTGATGAAGACGATTACGTCGCCGGAAGTGGTCGAGCTGGATTGGGGCATTCCCAACAGATGGCTGCGGTACCGGGTACCAGTGGTGGTAAATTTGGACCAAGAGACGGTGAGACCCAGCCTGTTAATGATAAACTATATGCCTACAAGCTCGGTAAGTTCATTCGATTTGGGTCGAATATTTTGTGGACGTGATGATTTTTTTTGTGGGTGCAATGAATGCCGATGGTTTTGGTTCCTAGGAACCGTTTCCAATGTGGTAACGGTTCTTAAAGGAGCTGGTTTATGATTTCTACGTATTATCAGACGTGGGTTGTCAAATAATCAACAAATTGGATGTCTATTTACTAAAAAAAAATTGTTGGCAACCTGTCAGGAATTCAAGGTAGATAGTGTACATCATTCATCAGAACAATCTTCTTTCTCCAATCTATTCCACAGGACGATCACGTGACAAGCGAGTTTCTCGGTTCAGTGACCCGAAGGATACAGTCCGTCAGACCCACATAACGCATGTGGCGATCGTTAATCACAAACCTGGGGAAGTTGTTCCACCTCTAGCAATACCGAAGGTGAACCAAGCCATTCCGGCAGTTCCGAGTGCTGGCAATGTCGTTTCACCTCCGGTAAGCACTAGCTCGGCGTCCTCTATGCCACTTTTCCCTGCCGCTGTAGCTGCAGTAAGGCATTTGGAAGACATTCGACGGGGCAGCAGTGTCGCTTCAGAGACGCCCTCGAACGCGTCCAGCAGTCGTGCCTCGTCTTCGCACCGCAGTGGTCGTGAAGCCGAAAATCGCAAATCGTCCCACAAGTCACGTAAAGCCAAAAAACATAAACGTTCTCGCTACAGCCGCAGTGACGATGATGATGATGACGAAGACGATCGTTATTCGCAACATTCGCGCAGATCACATAGCTCCGAACAAAGTGGTTATTCTCGTCGACGAAGATCCTATTCACGCGACTCACGAGACGATGATCGAGATCGAAAGTATTCGTACAAATCGCGAGATCGTTCCAGTTCAAGATCTCGCGATCGGTACAAATCATCCAAAAGGCGATCCCGGACTCGATCTCGGTCCTCGTCGAGGCGAAGATATTAGGTCGGTTTTTTTTTTGATTCGGAATAAAACATTGCTAGTGGTATAATATGATCGATTCAAATCGAATGCGGTATTAAAAGCCGGTAGTTTTGAAAAGTTTTCTGTAGATACCATTTAACTCAAAACTACCTAAGAAGTTTTCTTACCATTTCGTTGATTATCCAACGAAAATTGTAATTTATTGTAGATCATACAAAAGGCATTTAGATAATGATCATGAGATGCTTTGAGATCGTTAAGCAGCATTTCGGTGTTCCTCCAAAATATGCACAGTGCACGTGAAATGAATAACAACCAAAATAGTAATCGGTCAACGGAATAAGTGATGCGTTTAAAAGCATAGCAGATGGTGCTGAAAAAAAGAGCGATATCCATTAAATCAAGTAGAATGAATTTGTGTATAGTTGAAATCTGAAAGTTTGGCAGTGTTCAAATACAGTGAAATAGAAACCGCATACCTATCTACTTTCGGGTTAATCTTAACTAGCAAAAGACAGCAAGTAGTTAAAGTACTTTGAATGAAAAAAATAAAACAAACTTGCATGCAGACAGCGCCAGATAATGGTGCATTGATTATTCCTTCAACATTTATCAATACCGGGCCCGAATAAATACACAATTCTATTCCTCTCGATATAGCACATAATTGCAGCTGTATTTTCCATTTATAGAAAGAACATTCTCTTCCTACATCTTAAGCTGCATCGCCGGGGTATTGGATTCGGTAAACATTAACGGATTATTTCGGAAAAAAATAGTTATCGAAAATGTGCCTCCAATTGATGAAAATATTCATATCGGGTGGCTTCAATCTGGCAGGCGTTTCGTGAAGATCATAGCAGCTTCCTGTACCAAATTCTGAAAGCTCTTTAATCTCTAAATTATGTGGTGTGGAAGTTAAGAAGCTGTTGCAGCTAGACTTGTATCGGGGTAAGACGGCCTCTTTTGGATGGGATGTGTTATATCCCAAGGTTTGAATTGGGTTCTTTAATTTTGGAAAATTTATTGTTGTTGTTTATTGTTTATTTAAAAATTCAACTGACAGTTATTGTCTAAATGAATAAAACTTAAACTAAATAGTTACGGTCAACGGTACGGAAAAGGCCAAGTAGCCGATGACGAAACACGTCAGCTGATACATTGAAGTCGAACATATAAAAAAAAGTTGTTGAATTGCCGGCTGATTGCTCGAATTGGCTCGTGTTGTGTATAATTCCGGCTCCGTGGTTCCAAAAACAGAAAGTCGCGTTGACGAAGAGACCTCTCAGGGGCATACATATTTAGCTGTGACAGCAGTGTTGGACAGTCAATGTCACCTGTAAGCAGCTTTCCAGCGAACATAGTTTGAGCGACCGTCCGTCTCACCTCTAATGGCTCGATTCCCAGGAGACGGCAACGCTCCTCGTACGGTGGCAAGTTCGTTGGGTCACGCCAGTTGAGGAAACGAAGAGCATATCTCACAAACTTGCGTTGAACGGATTCAATTCTAGTGATCCAGCTAGCATGGAAAGGGCACAAAACAATTGAACTTGACTCCAATAATGATCACACAAGCGAGCAGTAAAGTGACCTGAGGCATAGCGGGTCACGAAACTCGTCGGCAATTTTGAAAATAAAGCCCAATTGTCGATTAGCTCTGGAGATGATGTCATTGTAGTGGATTCTGAAAGTGAGTCTGCAGTCCAAGGTAACGCCGAGATCCTTTATGTGCTCTACACGAGCAAGACAGCGTTCGTAGAGAACATAGTCAAACATGATTGGTTCGATTTTTCGGTGATAAGAAACTAGGGGCATCCCACTCTAAACTTTAGTTCCAATATTCATTAAATATTTTTAAATATCTCCTAAGTATTGCTAAGTATTTTTATGTATTTTATTTCTAGGTTTTATTTTCATCGTAGTAACGTTTGTTTTATGACCGGTTGCTAGTGCTGTGTTTGTTGTTTTTTGCTCCATCAGTTCGATAATTTTAGTCGCGTGATCTGATCATTTTTTAGAGTATAAAATGAGTTTATTTGAAATGAAGTGTGAATTCATTGTAAGGGGTACGTATTTCAAATCTGCCTACGAAAAGATTTAAGAAAATGTATATTTTTCAGTGATCTATAATGTTAAAATGAAGTACACCAAGCCTTTTTGATCCGTTTTCTCCAACATCAGAATTCTAGAAGACGATTGTGAAACCAAAGAGCTTTAAATGTGTACAGTCCCCTACAATTAAAGAACATTTAATTAACGTACAGTGAGTCTATCGTGTTCATCGGAAGTGTTCCATATTTGTGGAAGAATGTATGTTGTTGTTGACTGTATGTATTATGAAATAAAAGCTGACCACAATGAAACTGTTTATTCTCAAGACTGCTAAACATTTGGCAGACTAATCATTCTTTACCGAACCACCGAATCTATAAATAACAATAATTTGAAAATAACAATATGGTTTTTTAAACGATAAAATGGAAAATGGAGCATTTTTGTAAGGTTATCGTTCAGCTCGTTAACCCATTTAATGAGCATGCCCCCAATATCGCCACATTTTTTTTTATAATCTGTGACGTAAAATCATTGTAACTATCCACTAGAAGTTAGTTCAAGCCTCTAAGGGAGCATCCATTAAGTACGTCACACTCTTAGGGTGTTGCTTACATATGTGTGACAAGCAATGCATTTTCTCTCATTTTTGCGAGGAGTACTTAATGCATGCTTTCTATAGGGTTTTGCCTTCTCAAACTTCTCGATTCCGCAGACAAAACTAATCCTTTCTTTCCCAGATAATTTCCAACTCCTTTCTCCCTCGCAGTCTTCTTCACTCTCCCATCCAATCAGCCCTCCATCACCAAGGATCCGTATTCGCAGGTATAGCGATTTCAAGACTCTCACAAGATTAATGTATAAGGTGTGCTTGCTTAAAATTATGAATGTATTTCACCAAGAACCCTACACTTACCAACTCAATGGTTCCAACTCTATTGGTTTCTTTAGGGTGAAATAATAGATTTTCTTCAAACGAAACCTGTGGACACATGGGAATGTTCAAGGTAAGCGTCTGTAAGAAAAATATCAGGTGAATTGAATGTTATGATAGTCAATTTGAATGACCGTTCTAAATTTTGTTCTGAACTGATTTTTCTATTTGAACTTGTCTAACTTGGCGACCTTTATGAGCTTCAAGTAGAAGGACATCGTATGGGGGGAATGTTGTTCATTTTTGCGGTCCATAATGCTAAGGAAGCTATGAGACTCGGCTCTACGGATGCCACAAGTTCCGATACCAGCTCCCATCAGCTTAAATTTCCGTAGTCATTATCACAGGATCAAGATCCTAGTGGGTGAACACCTCGATGAAAACCTCCGTGACAACTATACTTATAACACGATAGTCATTTTCAGATCTGTATTTTGAACGATACATTTAAACGAGCAATAGTCGAATGGTTCCAATGGCCATCAGTATACCTTCCTCCTGGAACTGGATCAACGAGTAACGTATGATACGGTCAGTGGCGTGTAGCTAATTCTATTAATATTGAAACTCACAACTGTTTGACACCGGAAGCTTCTGCGCCGTCCATGAAGGGGACGTGTCTACATCCCTGACTGCTGGTCTAAGCCAGTCGGCAGTTGTTGGGGTGGGCATCAAAGGCCTCTTTTGCTCCCGAGTCTCCGGGCGTTGGCGAGGTAGGGAGAGTTTTCGGAATTATTAGAAGTTTGACAAATAGGGTTAATTTAGACTTTAATTGAATGGTTTTATTGATCCAATGGCGGGCGGGAGGTGAAACACTTACGCTGCTGCAATAGAGAAACCGGCCACTGTCTATGTCAAGCTACCGACCCTCGTTGCTATCGGCGGCTGTAGTGTGGACTGATCTCAGATCCTGGGAGACCACGGACGTTAGCTGTCCCAGAGGTTTAAATCTCGGTCTCCGAAAGGCACAGTATATAGGCTCTTCAAACACTACCTTCTAAAAACGCACTTTAACAACGTGCCTAACGTCTCTGAACCCCATCCAAATTTCACCAGATCCATTCTCTTCCAGAGCTCTATACTCACTGACCTTCTCTCCTCTTCATCATAGCTCATCCACCACCCAGCAACTCCCTTTCGTTATGCGTTTTGCTCTATCCGCTGTTCCATCGGGGCCCTCTTCATTATGGGAGTCCAATCGCCACCCGTCACGAAACGTATAGATGGCTATCAACTACAAATTGACCGTTAACTTTCTGAGCATACTGAATACTGTTTCCTATCGTCTCACAATTATACGCAACAAAAAACTGTTACCGTTCAGTAACAATATAATAAATGTTAAATGTACACAAAATCAGATAAAAAACAAATGAAATTTGTTTATAGCAACAATCAATTCGAAACTAACGATTTTAAATTGGCTCACTACTTGACTAGCCTATTGGTCCCAAGCAAATCGATTAACGTATCCCATTCTAGTCAAAATTCCAGTACTACACTATGTTTGTTTTGATTCGCTATGAAAGTTTGACATATAAAATAAGGGGCTCGTGGATTTTCCAATGTTTCGAGGGGTGCATCGATTAGCTTAGGACCGAAGAGAGTACCAGAGCTGAGCCAAAAAGTTGAGCTCGTTTCTTCGGGACCTTCTGGTCTTAGAGTTACCTCTATGTTTATAGGCTATAGCAACCGAGCAAACAAACCATCGCTAGATATTTCTTAAGTATTTCTTAAGTATTTATAAATATTCCCAGGTATCTATAAGTATATCGATAGAAATACAAATTTTAGAGTGGGATGCCCCTAGATAAGAAATAATGTTACATTTTTCTATGCTTAGACTCATCAAATTGCTTGAGCACCAGTCAGCAAAAATACCTAACATATTCTGGAGATCCCAGCAGTCCGAGAGGCTTCTAATAGTTTTGTACATTTTCGTATCGTCTGCATAGAAAACGCGGCATCCTGATGGTATCAGCAAGGCGACGTCGTTTAAAAAGATCGAAAATAGTAGCGGTCCTAGCTTACTGCCTTGCGGGACTCCAGAGTTGTTTGAGAAAACATCCGATTCCGATGCGCCAATCTTGACATGTACATAGCGATTCACCAAGTAAGATCTGAACCAATCCACAGCAGTTGACGAGATGCCAAGTATCTCCAGCTTTTTTTTTCCTTGGTTTGTTTTTTCCGTCGATCTTGTTTTCCGTGCTGAGCACCAATGCTACCGACGTGCCAGGAAGGCAGCTCCCACACCTGGACCCTACCTATCGACCCATCAACTCATGAACCGGGGACCAACGGCTTTACTTCCCATCCGAAGGAAGGCGTGATCAGAGATGTTATGCCTCAGAACATCCCGGCGGCGCCGACTGGGATTGAACCCAGGCCTGCTGGGGTGAGAGGTAATCACGCTTACCACTACACCACCGGCGCCGTTGTATCTCCAGCTTCGCCAGCAAGATATTATGGTCCACCGTGTCAAATGCAGCTTTTGAATCCATATACGCAGTATCGACTTGCCATCCTGATTCCATGCATCGCAGAAGTAGCACTCAGATGACGGCGTAAAAAGAATCGGTGTGGGTAAACTAAATGACACGACGAGAGCGGGATGATCGGCATCTAGATCAATCAGTGGCTCGACCGGCAAGGAAACAGAAGTGCCCGGTAGTGCGGTATCATTTGCCAGGACAAGATCTAGCAAACGTCCATTTCGGTTCGGAAAAGTATTCACTTGTCACTGCAGACCAGCTTGATTGTAGTCACCAAATACGAAAGCGGGAGAGCAGGGACTTAATTGTGACGAAATTGAGCCTAACGATTCCACATGCTCACGGATGATCGTGCAGTCGTTTTGCGGTCGGGAGGCAGGTAGATTGCGCCTACACTAAGCTTGCTTTGTGGAAGTTCTACGACAATCCACAGCTGTTCCAGTTGACGGGAAATGGGTGACGTACTTACGTAGCTGGCTAGTCTAGTAGATACTGCAATCAGGACTCCGCCACCGCGCGATTTTTGACTGTTTAGGGCAGACCGGTCAGTGTTGAAGACGGAATAGAGTGACCCGAAAAGTTGCGATGAGTAAATTCGGGGTCGTCCAGCCACGTTTCCGTCAGCACAATCAAATCATATTTGGCCCCTGCAACAGCCAGGAAAAACGAGTCGATTTTAGTCCTCAGCCCACGCACGTTTTGGTAGTAGATCCGGAGACCATTCGAGGAGCAATCACGGGAACTAGAAATCGAAAGGACATCAGGTACCGAAAGCTCGGAATCGCTAACATACTTGCCTGAGGTTGCAGGCCGGAAGCCCCCGATACCATCACCGACCACAGGACCGGGAAGCGAATCCAAACAAATAAAGCAACCAACGATAAAGACCAAACGCTTGCTACTACTACCACGATAAACTCTCTCTGTAATATAGCTTGATCGGAGTTGAAGAAGGTTCAACGATGTATTGTACGACGCACAGAGGAGTACTTAGAACAAAAAGCTGACCAAAATAAGAAACAACTTCTTTTTAGGTTTCTTATGTTGTTTTATTTTTGATGTATACTAAACCCAGTGACCGTGAAGACCGATCGGAAACAGCTGTGATTGCCGTGAACGGAACGAAGGCGAAGGGAAGTAAAGCCGTTGGTCCCCGGTTCATGAGTTTATGGGTCGATAGGTAGGGTCCAGGTGTGGGAGCTGCCTTCCTGGCGTCGGTAGCATTGGTGCTCAGCAGGGAAAACAAGATCGACGGAAAACAAATCAAGGAATAAAAAAATAGTACCAACAATCAATACGAAACTAACGATTTTAAATTGGCTCACCACTTTAGTAGCCTATTGGTCCCAAGCAAACGATTAACGTACCCTATTCTAGTCAAAATTCTAGTACTACGCAATGTTTGTTTTGATTCGCTATGAAAGTTTGACAGATAAAATGAGGGGTTATTGATTTTTCCTATGTTTCGAGGGGTGAATCGATTAGCTTGGGACCGAAGAGAGTACCAGAGCTAAGCCAAAAAGTTGAGCACGTTATTTCGGGACCTTCTAGTCTTAGAGTTACCTCTATGATAGTACCAAGACCACTGGGTCCCGAAGAAAATCATTATTATTTTTGGCTCACTCAGTACCAGAACAACGGTCCCAAGCAGTCCCAAGCTATTTCACTCACCCCTGCATGTTCTGCATGAATCCACACACCCCTGATGTTATCTGTCAAACTTTCATAGCGAATCAAAACAAACATAGTGTAGTAATAGAATTTCAACTAGAATAGGGTACGTTAATCGTTTGCTTGGGACCAATAGGCTACTAAAGTGGTGAGCCAATTTAAAATCGTTAGTTTCGTATTGATTGTTGATAGTACCCCGTATGCAACGTACAACGTATGGTTTTTGGAAATTCATTCAACGTTTTCCGTTTCCCCCTTGAATAGCGACAAGCGCTGCTTTGGTGGTGCGCTCCTAGCCGTTGCCGCATAGAGGTAACTCTAAGACTAGAAGGTCCCGAAGAAACGTGCTCAACTTTTTGGCTCAGCTCTGGTACTCTCTTCGGTCCCAAGATAATCGATTCACCCCTCGAAACATAGGAAAATCCCCTAACCCCTCGCTTTATCTGTCAAACTTTCATAACGAATCAAAACAAACATTGTGTAGTACTAGAATTTCGACTAAAATGGGGTACGTTAATCGTTTGCTTGGGACCAATAGGCTAGTCAAGTAGTGAGCCAATTTAAAATCGTTAGTTTCGTATTGATTGTTGATTGCCGAACGACATGGCAGCTCACGGATTGATACGAACAATGTCAGAAGGCTGGAGCAGGCGAGGAGCAGGTGTGTTTCTGCCAATATTCGTGGTTGTCGTGGTTACATTACATTCCACCGGATAAAAGCCGTGAAGAACACATCGCCACCGTCCGTCAACTCTGCGACAACGCTTCTCTGGATGAAATTGTACTCGTGTGCGGCGAATACAATCAACCTTGTACCATAGAGGTAACTCTAAGACTAGAAGGTCCCGAAGAAACGTGCTCAACTTTTTGGCTCAGCTCTGGTACTCTCTTCGGTTCCAAGCTAATCGATGCACCCTTCGAAACATAGGAAAATCTACGAACCCCTCATTTAATCTGTCAAACTTTCATAGCAAATCAAAACAAACATAGTGTAGTACTAGAATTTCGACTAGAATGGGGTACGCTTATATATGTACTTAGGACCGAGCTTGGTACGAATAAGCTAGTCAAGTAGTGAGCCTATTTAAAATCGTTAGTTGCCACCGGTTGGTCGTACGGTGGTACGCTGCATCGAGGACTGCTTTATCCTGCAAAGGTTGCTTAACATGTTTGTTCACAAGTGCCGCTCGAACAAGCTTGTCATCAGCGTCGTGAAATGTCATGTGATGACCTTCTATCGGTCCAAAGATCCGATAATTTATGAATACCACATCGATGATACTGTTCTTAGCAGAGTGGATCAAGTGACGGATCTTGTTGTCGTATTGGACTCGAAGCTTTCGTTTCATTCCCGTTATGCGTCGATTATTTCCAAGGCTAATCATCAACTTGGCTTCATCTCTAAAATCGAGAAGGATTTCACGGATCCACACTGTCTAAAAGCATTGCATTGTTCACTCGTAAGGCCGATCCTAGAAAATGCTTCAGTGGCATGGCCTCCAAACGACGTAGCATGGAACCTAAGAATCGAGCGTGTGCAAAAACAAATGCATACGGCTTGCGCTCAGGAACCTATCGTGGCGTCACAGAAAAAACAGACATAACACTCGTAAGTTGTTCATCGAACAAGCTTTTAACGGACAATTTAAAAGTATCGTAGTTGGTAGTACCGCCACCTGTGGCGCGCATAGTCAATTCCCTTGCGTTTGACGTTTATACGCTACCGCCATCTGTTCAGCGTAGTGCCCACCACAGTGTAGTCAACAGATGGCGGTAATGTTTTAGCGACGATGTTTTACAGTGAGAAATATACATTTTGTTATGTCTGTTTGTCTGTGGTGGCGTCATCCTTTGATTTTTCCAGCGTATCCCGATAGATGCCGTCTGCTTGACCTCGAAATGCTTGATCGAAGACGTAAGCTACAACAGGCTACGTTTATAGCTAAATTACTCAACGGTGACGTCGAATGCTCTCATCTTCTGTCACTGCTTGATTTCCCTGCTTCATCTAGGATGTTACGTCAGCAATCTGATGTAACTGAGCTTTCATCGTACTCTCTATGGCTCGAACCAGCCTATTTGTGCAATGATTCGTATGTTTGTATCCGTCGAGTCCGCGATTGATTTTGGTATGCTCACACCTCAATTTGTGAATAGAGTAAGAAGACTGAATCTTATTTAAGATAACGAATAGTTTATTCATTAAGACAACTTTGTAAACCGAGAAGATATTTCAGAAATGGAAAGGCAATTACACTTTCGTATAGCACGCGTACGAAAGGAACTACCAGCTATCCCCTCAAAACAGTGTTGTTGATTACTCGAAACCACGATTTGAAGCCGAGTATAATCTACACGAGAGAGAAGTACAAACAAATAATGTTTCTGTTCATCGCGCATCTACCGCTTCAACCGAAGCTTTCGAGGCTTTATCAGTTCATTCTATGAAATGAACAAACTCAAATGGTTAAAGAAGGAACTTAAACGTTGAGTGAGTGTCACTTGGGTAGCAGGTGGTTCTGAACATCGAGCGAATGAATCATTGGATGAACAAGATTTCACTAGTAGTTCGCTTAGCCGAATTGGAGACGCAACAAAGAGAGTATTTTTTCTCAACACTTGACTGCTTCATTGGTGAGGCTTGTTATTGCTGCATGTTTATCAATAAGGTGTATTCAGACATAAGCGGGCGCGGGTGGGATTTGCGTTAGTATGAAAAAGGCAACAAGTACTTGTACCAACGCAAATCCCGCTCCGAAAGACTTGAGTTTGCGACTCCCTCGTTGATATGATGGTCGAAAAGGTTTCAGCTGGACGATTTATCTTTAAGACAATTAAGTATAACATCTGAGGAGCATCGACGGTTAATTCACATGGACACAGTTGACTCCTGTTGAGCCCAACGGTGAATGTACAGAATGTGGCTCTCTTGGTCGATTTCAGCTTCATCAATTCGCTCGTCTACCAAGGAAGGTGTGACGATTGTCGGAGAGCTCTCTTTCCAAGGTTTTCGAAAAAAGTTTGCGCAGCGGTCTCAACGTTGCCAGGATCGAAGATACTTCCTTACCAATCTCAGCATTTTTGGCAACAGATTTTTGGACTCTACAGAGAAGTGCAACGAGCAACGCAAGTTGATTTTGAAAAAAATGACCGTCAATGCTATGAAGTGCTGTAGCAACCACAACGAAAGTATCTTCTCACTAAATGAACGTCATCTAACTAACAACGCAACTCGAAGCAACCACATTTTGAGACATGATCGTATCGAAGAAGGCAACAACATATTTTTATTTTGCCACCGGTTTAAACCATTTTGGCATCTTCACATCGCTAGCAGTAGACTGTACCGAGGAGGGCCTAAAGTTTGCATTTGGCATCCGATTTGCACTGCTGCTGGCTACGTTTGCATCGTTCACATCCACCGGTAGGCAAGCATCCGAATCCGTGTCCATGCAAGTTGTTGATGAAGATGAGGCAGTTGTAGTTTCGTTGAGATACTTCCTGGAACGAGCAGCGAGTTCGGTTGCACCTGTTGCGTTCGAGAGGCGCTCATATAGGTTCAATTTGAGAATTTTATCCATTTTCGAATCGCCTTCGAAGCCAAGATGTAGTATGGCCTGTGGTGCGCATTTTGCTTCCACTAGTGAACTTTCAGGAGATAGAATTGTCTTTGGTGGTGTGGTATCTAAAAAAAAAACGAAGGATATATAAAAGGTACTTGCCGTAGATTAATCGTGACGTACAGAGATGAAGAGGCGTTGTTCGGTCTTCTAAGTATGTATCTACAAATCCTAAAACATCAGCAACGGTTTCATGCAATTTGAAGATACCCTGCAATATGTGACGATCCGGAAACTGTACTCGAATGATTGTGTTTTTATAGCGTGCCAAACTATTCAAAACGCGCTTATCATCCTCCAGTTTGCGTAGTTCGGATGTCATCAATGGTGCTTCCTCCAACTCTTTAACTTTGTTTCTCAATTCGACATACATTTTGCGAACATCTTTTACTGTGACATCGAAGAATGAGTCTGGTAGATCAAATGAACCTCGTTCGGCTGTTTTTAGATGGAACAGCACAGCATCTCTCTCGCCAAGAATGTTGATTATTGGTTCTGGCTTTGGCTCGTTGCCGCTTTCGGGAATCTCGGCTTTTGCAGGCATTTCCGATGGCAATTTTGAACTGGCCTTCGATGGTCCTGACTCAGGACTAGATTCACCTGCCTTAGCTTTTTTCGCCAAAACTTGGGAGTTCTGTTCATTTTCAGGCGCGGAGTTAGTTTGCATTGGAGTTTCTGTTTCAGCATCTTTCGGTGGAGTGCTGGTTATTTTCTCCGGAGCGGGATCATCTGACTCCTCTGGTTTTTCCTTGTGTGGCAAAGGGGCCGACACGTTGGCTTGTGTCTTTAGCTCTTCCGGCTTTCTTTGAAGTAATCTTATAATGGCACGTCCACCAGTTAGCCCTAAGCTTTTTAAAGTAGTTTTATCCAACGAATCCCACAAAACTTCTCTGCGCATATAGATCATAACGGGATTTGCTTCGGCGTTAGCTTTTTCATAGCATACCGTCTTAAGCACATCCAAAAGACTTGTCGATGATTTGAACGTGCCATCTAGGCGGGTTCCGTCTTCCAGCTGAACAACTAATATGATATCAGCCTCCGTCCGCACCTTGGTAACCGGTACCATCTCCAGAAGTGCGTTGTTGGGAAGGCCTGAGAACCTGAACATAGCCGAGAGATCCATCACTTTGTTGTGGTGTTTCAGATCATATTCAATCGAATTAAAGTTGAATTTCTGACACACTTGCTCGAGAATCTATTAGAAGAGGAAAATTAAATTACAATATTTACAAGTCGAATGGAGAACCCTCTAGAAGTTTATATGTACGTCTAGGATTGTTATATTTGGCTCCACTTTCACGTTTTGCCTACGGCCATGGATCGTTAGCACTGTTACTGTTTTATTCGCCATCTTTTGTTGAATATTTGCGAATTATTAAGCGGATTTAGTAATTTTATTCTTCAATTTCAACATAAACTTAACTGAACTGACTGAGAATTGGAACGCAAAAACATGACCATGACATGACAGTTTGTGCAATAAGGGGTATTAGACTTGGGAGCCGAAGTATGAAATGTTCCATACTCTAGGGATGTCCAATTGTTTTCAGATAAAGTCCTCTCAGAGATTGATAAATTAGTAATTGGCAAATCAAAGTTGGCACTCGTGGAGAATAGAAGAACTATGAGAGTGATGATGGTTTAAACATTTTACACGGTGAGGTCTTGGGTGAGGTATTCGAGTGTAGTCTTAAAATGCTTTTATTTTGCAAATGAAGCATTGTATTTAAATGTGGTTAATGCTACGTTAGTAGAAAACTTATGGATTACTCAATAGACATATAATATAGAAAAAATAATTTATTTTCAGATTGTTATGGTGTATACATACACGGAACCGAAAAATTACGCAAAATTAAGTTCTTTTCTAATTTTCAGGTGGTTGAGAGCTGGGTACAGCTTTCATCGTGATGGGCGAAATGCAGAAGCGCGTGGTGGCCAATCGATAGCAGAATGTGCAAGTTGAGGATCAAAGGCAGTTTCTTCGATGTCAGCATAATCAACGTGCACAGCCTTCACAGCAAGTGACGATAACGATAAAGACGCTTTTTACGCGCAGCTGGAACGGGAATATAACAGCTGCTCAAGCCATGACGTCAAAATAGTCATCGGTGATCTTAACGCTCAGGTCGGTCAGGAGGAGGAATTCAGACCGGTTATAGGAAAGTTCAGCGCTCACCAGCTAACGAACGCCAACGGCCTTAGACTAATCGATTTCGCCGACTCTAAGAACATGGCCATACGTAGTACCTATTTCCAGCATAGCCTCCCATATCGGTACACCTGGAGATCACCGCAGCAGACAGAATTGTAAATCGACCACGTTTTGATCGACGGAAGGCACTTATCGGACATTATCGACGTCAGGACCCATCGCGGCGCAAATATCGATTCGGACCACTACCTTCTAATGGTCAAGGTGCGCCAAAAACTTTCCGTTGCCAACAACATTCGGTACCGACGCCCGCCACGGTACAATCTGGAGCGACTGAAGCTGCCCGAAGTCGCAACTGAGTACGTGCAATGCCTCGACGCAGCGTTGCCTGATGAGGGAGAGCTCACCGAAGCAACAATCAATACGACACTATAGATTTTAAATTGGCTCACTTCTTGACTAGCCTATTGATCTCAAGCAAAAAGATTAACGTACCCCATTCTAGTCGAAATTCTTGTACTAAACTATGTTTGTTTTGATTCGCTATGAAAGTTTGACAGATAAAACGAGGGGCTCGTGGATTTTCCTATGTTTCGAGAGGTGCATCGATAAGCTTGGGACTGAAGATAGTACCAGCTGAGTCAAAAAGTTGAGCACGTTTCTTCGGGACCTTCTGGTCTTAGAGTTACCTCTATGACCGAAGCCCCTCTTGAGGACTGCTGGAGCAACGTGAAAGCAGCCATTAACAGCGCTGCTGAAGGCGCCGTTGGGTTCGTGGAGCGGAATTGACGGAACGATTGGTTCGACGAAGAGTGTCAGACGGTTTTGCACGAAAAGAACGCAGCGCGGGCGGCGATGCTGCAGCATATCCGTCATAATGTGGAGCGATATAAACAGAAGCGAAGACATCAAACCCATCTTTTCCGGGATAAAAAGCGCCACCTGGAAGAGCTGGAGTGCGAAGAAATGGAGCAGCTGTATCGTTCTCAAGAAGCACGGAAGTTCTACAAGAAACTCGACGCATCCCACCAAGGCTTTGTGCCGCGAGTCGAAATGTTTCGGGATAAGGAAGGGGGTATCTTAACGGACGAACGTGAGGTGATTGAAAGGTGGCAGCAGCACTACGATGAACATCTGAACGGCGCAGAGGCCGAGGACCAAGGTGGCAGGAGGAATGGCTTCGTCGGTACAGCGGATGAGGAAGACATGTCAGCTCCCACAATAGGTGAAGTTAAGGATGCTATCCGACAGCTTAAGAACAACAAAGCAGCTGGGAAAGATGGTATTTGAGCGGAACTTATCAAAATGGGCCCGGATAAGTTGGCCACTTGTCTGCATCGACAGATAGTCAGGATCTGGGATACAGAACAGCTACCGGAGGAGTGGAAAGAGGGAGTAATATCGTAATATGCCCAGGCGACAAACTAGAATGTGAGAACTATCAAGCGATCACTATTCTTAACGTGGCTTACAAAGTGCTTTCCCAGATCATCTTTCGCCGTTTATCGCCGCTAGCAAGCAGATTTGTGGGAAGTTATCAAGCCGGTTTTGTGGACGGGCAATCGACAACGGACCAAATCTTTACATTGCGGCAGATCCTCGAAAAGTGTCGTGAATATCAAGTCCCTTCGCACCACCTATTCATCGATTTTAAAGGCTGCCTATGATACTATTGACCGTGAAGAACTATGGAAGATTATGGACGAGAACGGTTTTCCCGGGAAGCTGACCAGACTGATTAGGGCTACGATGGATGACGTACAGTGCTTCGTGAAGATATCGGGTGCTTTATCGGATTCGTTTGAAACTCGCTAAGGACTTCGACTATGGTCTTTCCTGCCTCCTGCTCAACATTGCGCTTGAAGGTGTTATGAAACGTGCGGGTTTTAACATGCGGGCACGATCTTCAATAAGTCCAACCAGTTAATCTGCTTCACTGACGACGTGGAAATTGTCGGAAGAACGTTTCAGGCCGTGGCAGAGCAGTACACCAGGCTGAAACGTGAAGCAGAGAAGGTTGAATTAAAGGTGAATACGTCGAAGACAAAGTATCTGTTAGTTGGAGGAACCGAGCGGGATAGGGCTCGCATAGGCAGAAGCATGACAATCGACGGGGATGAGTTCGAGATTGTGGATGAATTTTTGTACTTCGGATCATTGATGACGTCGGATAACAACTGCAGCAGAGAAATTCGTCGGCGTATTATTGCTGGAAGTCGTGCTTACTACGGACTCCACAAGACCCTGAGGTCGGGTAAACTTCATCTCCGTACTAAATGTACCATGTACAAGACGCTGATAAGACCGGTAGTTCTCTACGGGCACGAGACGTGGACGATGCTCGAGGAGGACCTGCAAGCACAGGGTGTTTTCGAACGACGAGTGCTTAGGACCATCTTTACATGAGTGCTCATTGCAAGACAGCCTATATTACGTGATATAGGCTGTAATGTGAACGGGGTATTAAGGGCCTTAGAAAGTTTGTTTACAAATGCTTTTGTGCCGTTATCAAATGTTATACCCCGTTCACATTACAGCCTACACAGCAAAAAAAAAGTAATACCGATCAATGTAATTCAAGCTGATGTTTGAAATAATGATGTAATAGCAAAAAGCAGATACAATATTACATCAATGGATGTAATTTTGTTCGTCAAATCGATGTACATCGTACAACGTTATATTACACAACCGATGGATTGACCTGGTTGCAGCAGTTTGGATGTAATATTCAACAACTTTTTTGTCTGTGTATATCACGTAATATAGGCTATATTGCAATGAGCACTCATACTCATACATAGGATTTTCAGTGAAAACTAGATGTATGAGTGCTCATTGCAAGACAGCGTATATCACGTGATATACGCAGTAATGTGAACGGGGTATTATGCCTGATATGCGCTGTAATGTGAACGGGGTATAAGATAATGTTGTTGAAATCGAGGTTGAAATTGCCTTTTCAATAGTAATTTGGCCATAATAATTTATTTGTGAGGACTACAACAAATGCTGAAATTCACTATGACATTTTTGCTATTAGCTTTAGATTTTCTACTATAACACGATTTAATAACAGTATGTTCAGTTAATTTCACCATACACAGCAAAAAAAAATGTAATATCGATCAATGTAATTCAAGCTGATGTATGAAATAATGATGTAATAGCAAAAAGCAGATACAATATTACATCAATGGATGTAATTTTGTTCGCAAAATCGATGTACATCGTACAACGTTATATTACACAACCGATGGACTGACCTGGTTGCAGCAGTTTGGATGTAATATTCAACAACTTTTTTTTCTGTGTAATATCTATTGCACTGTAGAAATAAACGATGGATTTAACATCGATATACATCATTAATTTCAGTGTAGGAACAGACCTATATTGGAAATCATTCCCACAAAGGTTTCGCCTCCGTTGTCGAATTCTTCATGCAAATGCACGCCACTTGACAGAACTGACACCCCAAACTGTTGTCGTTGTTCTTCTCGTTTTTCTTTTTAGGCAACAGCAACAGCAGCAAAAAGGACATAGCAAAGAACAGTTTAATGCATTTTTCTGTTTTATTTCAATGTTGCTCATTCATAATTAGAGAAAAGTGGCAGAAAAGTGATCGATTACGCTGCGGATAATTACCTCGTCAACGTCCCGCTGAACATTGGACTGCATAATAGGTGAAAGGTGAGAAAAAAAAGGAAAAGCTTACAGCCGTTCGCTACCCAAAGCAGCGAAAAAAAAAGTTCCTGAAAACAAAAACACGAAGCCATCAAAATCTCACGGTAAAACTGGAACGGTCAAGTCTAGTACAGGAAATGGCCACGGTCAATTTGAACGGGCAGTACCGTGATGGTGGCGGTGGAACATCTTCGGCCGGGTGCGGTCCTTCGTCGTCTTCGTCCTCGTCGCATTATCCGATTCAGGGCAAGAAGGATCAGTGGATCAAACTGAACGTTGGCGGAACCTGCTTCTTGACTACCAAAACAACACTCTCCCGGGATCCGAACTCGTTTCTGTCGCGGCTGATTCAGGAAGACAGTGATCTCATTTCCGATCGGGTAAGTGGAAGGGGAAATAATGAGCCATGATAAATTATTGATTCTATCAATTTCCGGACAATTTAGGACGAAACGGGTGCCTATCTGATTGATCGTGATCCGCGGTATTTTGCACCTGTGCTGAATTACCTGCGCCATGGTAAGCTTGTGCTGGACGATGGTCTGTCAGAGGAAGGTGTCCTTGAGGAAGCGGAATTTTATAACGTTACGCACCTGATTGGACTGCTTAAAGATAGCATTGCACGGAGAGAACAGGTAGATCTATACGTTGAGGTATTAGTCAGGCGGTTATTTTATTTTTTACAATTTTGTGGTGTAATCTTACAGAGACCAACTGCAGATAAGAAACGAGTCTATCGTGTTTTGCAGTGCCAGGAGAATGAGCTAACACAGGTAAGAATGTCTGTTCGTGTACGAGTTTCAATTTAAGCTTTAATATTTGTTTTTTTTTTTAATAGATGGTATCAACCATGTCGGATGGGTGGCGGTTCGAGCAACTCATCAACATTGGTACGTCGTACAATTACGGTGCCGAAGAGAACGCAGAATTCTTGTGTGTGGTATCGAAAGAGTGTGCAAACACGTTGATTGGTCGCGAGAATGAATCCAACGATCGAGCAAAGGTGCTTCAACAGAAGGGTTCCCGAATGTAAAGGGAAGGTGAGGTAAATAAATACTTACTATTGAAAAAATAACAATATATACTAGCGACGGAAGCAGAGCATCGGTATGACACCCAACTGAAAACGCGCTAAACCCCGTTACTTATACACATCGCTAAGTTTGGATCGGTTTTTGAACGTTTACGATTAGCAAGCAAACTGGGTTACTCTTACAAGGCACCACGTGGTAACTCTTTGCCGTTTTTTTTTTTATCTATTCGGTACTCGTTGATATACCTAGGTGACTATCGTGCATAGAATCAAACATTTTATTTTCTAGGAAGCAAACATTAACGCACGTTCACCCTATCAATCACACATAGTTTCCTTCTAGGGCACCATAAAATCCACTTTTCTTATGTAGGTGAAGATGTTTTCTCTCGCTCTCGGCTCGATCACGAATACGAATAGTAAATCCCCAAATAGGCTGCGAGGTAAAAGAACGAATCGTTTACCCACCGAGCAACGGTCATCAAGTTAAAACAGAAATAAAACAATCAGAAATTGACAACCTCCAACTCGCAATTTATAAACCAGTGTGTAGCAACTCCTCGATTAGTACTATTCTTTAAAATAAAACACACACAAACCATAGCAGACATTGGAGAATATTTGCATGATGCTACTTTCCTAATATGATTGCTAACTCCTCATAGTTAACGAAAGAACCGACGCTCCGGGTATACTTATTCTTCGATCGAATCGCGTAGAATAATTTCAACGAACAAATATGACAGTTTTACGTAAGTTACTACATTTAATGAGAGATGTAGAGAAATTCCAAACTGTGCGCACCCCGCGAAGCGCACCGTCCGTTTCTCACTCTCTTTCCCCATACTACAAACGTTATTCAAATGTGTTCTGCAAAACAACTCAACTGTTGAATTTCCTATACTATAGAACAAGAACAATACATTATTGTGTTTAGTTGAGGAACTTTTCTTATTTGCAAACGTTAAGTTTTAAGTGAGGACAATTAAGTTATCTTCTCTGGCAGGTCAAACAATTTGGAGAACTAACCGAAATTTTGATGATAAGACATCCACTAAAACACATCAGTATACGCACGTTGATTTCTACTGCAAGAGTTGAGAATTATTCCAAAAAATAGAGACACGATGTGCATGTTTTGGTGAAAAAATCTTTGAGGAAAATATATTGGAGCTACCCTAACAAACACAATGATAATGATGCCGAAGAATAAAGTAAAACAGTTCAACGTTGTAAAGCAGGGCAGATGATATGTGAGTGGAATAGAAATATAATTTAATACACATGTTTAAATGGTAACCGAATCAAATAGGACAGAAAAGAACGCCAGATCTTTTTTGACGTAGGACTACGTCTTTGATTTCTATATGGGGGTACACTTTGTGAAAACCGAAAATGGAACATGTAACAAATTATGAAAGATTTTGAACGTTAATAACTCAGCTGCCCCTGGTCCAATTTCAATAATTTTACCACCAATCGATCAGAAATATGGCTACGCATCGATAACAATGCTTCCGAATGTTGATTTTCAACAAGAAACTATTGAAAAACTGGTAAATGTCCAGCATTGTCCAAAAGCGTCGAATTAACTAATAAATCCACCAATTACCTACATGGGTATGCTGCTTCCCCAACACAGTCGTCAGAGAGTAGTAAGTAGACGAAACAAGTTGAAGTGGCATTCGCCTCCGATCCTCGGGCGCGTGTGAATAGGGAGGATGGAATTGCGTAATATTTTGCACACTCATCGCCATATTCAGAACCACACGCTCCCAACGACCACACAAAATGCTCTCCAGAGTAGTAATCTTGTAACCAAACTTGGAAACAGGGGATACACTCAAAAAATATATCACATAGGGTTACGGTATGTAATGTGGGTCTAGTCCTTTCATTCGGCCTATCACGCAAATAAATAATTAATTAAGGAATATTACACAAAAAATAAGGAAAATATTGATCACTGATGGTTGATAAATGTGTACCACACACAAATCAATTTATATCACAACATTTCAATACATTTTCAGCTCTCGTAAGTAATAAAACTGGTTGAGAATATCACAATGTTCGGAGTTTTTAGCCGCCATGACTTATAAGGTTAAGATGGGAAGGTTGACTGACGATCATCAAATGGCCTGATTATGGCATTTATTGATTGGAATTACCTGATAATACACACTAGACGTAAAACTTACAGTTGCTGTTTGAATATTTTATGTTTATTTTAATTGTTTAACAACGTTTTCACAAGTAAAACATGGACCCAACTTTAGGGACACATTTCTTTTCTATGTTCCTAACTATGGCCCATGAAATTCATTTGACAGCATATAGCAATAAGAGTAACGTCAACAATGTTGTTTTGCATTTGGATGATAAGGAACGAACAGGAAGGGAGATTTTTTCTGCCAAACCTGTATAATGAACATCACAATGTTCTGATTTAGATATTCTGCGGTCAAAAGACGATAAGCGAAATTTTTAATTTTTAATTTTTAAATTGAGTGATTTAATGTAGTTTTCGTAAAATTTTCTCTAAGAAATGTTTTGAGGAATGAAGAGCATTAAGTTAACAGTGATAGTGATAAAAAAAAAATACATCAGAAAACGTTACCAAGAGCGTTTTTTTGAGGATCAAACAAGATAGGACGAAGTTGCATCCATAAATAGACCCAATTTGGGGACAATAGACCCATATTACATACATTTCCCTCGTGAGTTATTGTCTTAAAAAAAGTAAGTTTTTCAACTTTTCGTGGTTTCTGATAGCAAACGACATGATAAGCATATCTAAGCATACCATTTAGCAGTAGAATATCGTTTGCAGGTAAATTCATTGATGAGTTATGATTAAAAACGTAATCGATGGCTGCATATTAGACCGAGGTTAGGGACGTATACCCTATGTAATGCATGAAATCCATGTGAATTTCACATAGCCAAAGCATTTTTTCCAAAAAAAAGTTGACAACCTAAAGAAATCGTGTATGGACTTTGTCGTTCAGTTTATTCCTGGAAACTTTTGTTAAATAAGCTAGAATTAAATAAAAAAGGTTTTTCCCATACATTTTTTAACCGCTTTACTACCAATCCCCAGAGAGCCAAAACATTCAAATTTGAAAGAGAAAATTCACTCTCACGATCTCAATATCTCAACATTCCATGTATTTTGATGACACTCTGTAACATTTGGTGGGGGAGGGAGGATTAACATTTGAAGTCTCTCCTATTTTGCATATTCTGCACAAAAAAATACATAAAAATTCCCTCCCTTTTAACATATTCTGCAAGAAAATACTAGGAAATTTCTAGGAAAAATCTGAACTATAATGAATATTCAAAGTGTTTTTATGTTACTTCATACGCGAAGTTAGCGATTTTCAGAGTTGGTTGGAAATGCTAACATGAAGCTTTAGTGTGATAATTTATTAGCTAGAGAATGATCTTTAGAAGAGTGTAGGTGGATAGTTCCGTTAGAGTACGGCAGTATGAAAATTGAATAAAAGTTGAAAATGAGCGAAGGGCCATTAATGCGACAGTTTTTAAAGTTAGACGCACATCTTTTGCCTAACCGGTACGATGTACGCGGAGACTTGAAGTATGTCTCCAAGTCTACAGGCTTGGCCCTGAAAAGGGCCATTTTTTTTTTAACTAGTTCGTTTATTTACTAGGCTCAGTCGTGTGTGACACTTTGCGGAGCCAAAATCAGTAATGTTTGATTTACATTTTAAATAGCAGTATTTCTATACCATATGATCGCGCACGGTAGGACCCGATTTTCTACGTTGTGTGATTATTAATTGAAACAGACCGATTTATTGGCCGTCCTGCCATGGCGGAGGCATTAAACTATATTCATATCAGGGATAGCACATGACAGAGAAACAATAACGAATAGTTACAGTATACAACATAATTAAGTAGTGACATCTATGGGTTGGTACAGTAAATTGTATATGCTAAGGATAGAGGTAGTAGTTGTCGCCTGCACGAACATACTCCCCCCCAAAAAACAACGTTTTTTATTTCATTTGATGACAATAAATCTGCTGATGACTTTGCACGTACAGTGATGAAAAACGATCAGCTTGTTGCCCATTGTTGACCGATGAAGAAAGTACGGTAGTCCAGTCATGCAGTCTGACGAATATCCAGCGTAGACACTTGCCCGTTGTTATAGAGCATCCGCTTCTAGCCCAATACTGAGCCGTTTGCAGCAGTATTGGATGATGAGCTAGATCCGAGCGGGATGCTCTGCTAGATGGCTACTTGAAAAGCCACACCATCGTAGCCGGTAGCGTACTTGAATTATCCATAGCACTGCACTCACTGACTGGTGTTGATCGCAAAAAGTGTTCGGTGTTATGGGATCGATGCAGTCGGATGATCACATCACTTTTAATACTGTTCGCGCTATCCTGGTTACTCGTGGCGGGCTCGAGGTTAATAGGTAACAATTTCAATTGGAAGGATCTAGGTAGGAAACTGGTTTCTGAAGCCTCCTTCAGATACTACTCTCGGACGGTTGACCAAATCCTGGCTGGGCAGGGGCAAGTAGCACAGGAACAGGAGGATAATAAGACTGGGACACAATGGCGGGAAATTGTTTGGAAAGGAGGGGATAGTCACATCAAACTCTAACATCAGACAAACAAAGGAATTCGTAGATCGCTTGCATGTAGGGAAGATCACGGGTTCCCAATACACCTCTTACTTTACGGAAGGGTTGTCTACCTCGGGCCACTAGGGCATCCAACAGACGTGCTCTGGAGGCGTCATTACCCAGCAATACCAAACTGCGTGATCTATGTCATCATAACCGGTTCTACACATACATATATTGCTGTCAACGAGGTTTATTCTATAGAGATGTGCGTCCAGCGAGTAGTGGTTGGACATCACTCGAATGAATCCCCGACTTACATCCAGACCTTTGAACCACGCTCTCGAAGAAACATTTGGAATAATGGAATGTAACCACCGCCCAAGAGAATTATTTGTCCAATCGTTTTGCCAAGTTAAAAGAGAACTCTGACGTACTAATGGGAAAAATTCATCATGTGAAATTCTTCTATCATAAATCTCGCCTTGTTGTCCGCCCACCTTTGCGAGAGAGTCTGCCTTCTCATTGCCTGGGATTGAGCAATGTGAGGGACCCATACAAAGGTAATCATATATGATCTTTCGACCAGCAAACTCATCTGTTCCCTTACCTTTGAAAGGAAATAAGATGAGTGCCTACCTTGTTTCATCGACCGAATAGCCTCAATCGAACTGAGACTATCCGAGAAGATGAAGTAATGGTCTATGGGCATATCGGAAATCATCCCCAATGCGAAGTTGATTGCTGCTAGCTCAGCAACATAAACGGAACAAGGTTCCTGAAGTTTTCGAAAGGCGGTTGAGTATTCATTGAAGACGCCGAAGCCAGTGGATCCATCAATGCGTGATCCATCAGTGAAAAATCTTCTATTGCAATTGACTTGTTGGTACTTTTCAGCAAAAATGCGGGGAATTGAGATAGGTCGAAGTTGATCTGGAACTCCTTGAATAGCCTGTTTCATGGAGAGATCATAGCCAATGGGGGAACTGTAGTTAGTAAAGCATACACGAGAGGGGTTATAGCAAGGAAGGCTAATATCCGATGACATATAATTAAGATAGATTCGCACGAATCTAGACTGGATGCTCAATTCGAGCATTTCTTCGAAGTTTTCAATCACAAGGTTGTTACTGACACTACATTTAATCAATATTCTTAATGAGAGCTCCCAGAAACGGTTCTGCAGGGGTTTTACGCCCGCTAGTACCTCTAGGCTCATATTGTGTGTTGAATACATACAGCCAAGGGCAATACGTAAACAACGATATTGAATACGTTCCAATTTGATTAGGTGGCTTTTTCTTGCCGAGTGGAAGCAAAAAGAGCCATACTCAAGAACTGAAAGAATAGTCGTTTTATATAATTTAATGAGGTCTTCCGGGTGAGCACCCCACCATGTCCCGGAAATTGATCGTAGAAAGTTGATCCTTTGTTGACACTTTTGTTTCAAATACGTAATGTGGGTACCCCAAGTGCATTTTGAATCAAACCAGACTCCAAGGTATTTTTTTTTTTTATAATTACTTTATTTGTACAGGCTCAATCGAATAAACTTTACAGAGCCGAGTTATCCTTTGCGTTATACATAATTACTGTCTTAAATTTAAAGTTAAAGGAACTGGACCGAGTACTCGCGGTTGTCTCGAGGTTAGTGGAGATTTACAATTTTTTGGATG